GCTGCTAGCTGTGGAAAACTGATTAAGCTCCTGAATGCCACTCTTTGTGCCACTCTTTTGTCACTCTTCACTCCTGCGGGGGACGTGTTTCTATAGTGATTCATGTTGTTTCCTAGCTTGTGGCACTCAAACAATTCATTATTATATCTCCATGGTCTCTGTGAGTTGGAAGTATTTTTCCAAAAAAGCTAAAGGAGTATAGAGTTGTTCAGGAAATACCTGATCTGATGGTCTGTGTTTTGGTATCAGGAATTTAAGGTTGTAATAGCGTGTCAACCGTTTGCGTGCCAGGCTGGCTCCTGTTTATAGAGGCGACACTTCACATGTCATTCACAATGCAGTGTGTGCCAGCACAGGAAACAAAATAAAGCTGTGAGTGGCACACCTCAACAAACTTCCACACTGCAAAAAGTAACAGTTACCTTAAAAGATGGAGGAACGAAACCCCCGTTCTGACGTGGTGAGACCTTTTAATGACCTCAAAAACCTATGTGGTGTTTACATTTTCAAACCAAATCTGTTTCAGGGATTGATCGCAGGCCAATAGTTTCAACCAATGTGCGTTGAGGTTTAAATATATCACATGCCAGCGGAGTATGAAATAGAAAGTTATAGCAGGGTGAGTGCAACATGCTTTGCAACGTTTTTGTTGTTGCACACTTTTGCCTTAAACCTGTTTTGTTTGCATACAGAGTGAGAGTGTAGTGCTCCTGCTCCTAACATACTACTGGAAGCACAGGTTTGATGGGGATGTGTTTGATGTGTGTCACAGAGTTGCTTGTGTGAATTCCAGGCTCACGTGGTTACTACGTTGCTCGGTGGACTGAAACAGAGACACGATACTGGACCATTAAGTTGAGCTCAGAGGTAAGGGGACTTATGTTAAGACCATAACAAGCTTAAAGGCAGTGTTGATAATCTTCTTCAAAAACTTTTTTTTGAAGGTTTTATTACATCCTGACAATCAATTCCTTCACGCCAAATAAGATGATTGGACTGGCTACCTGCCGGCCTACCTAACTGTCTGCAGGTATTTTCCTGTGCACCCATTGCTCATCGGCGGAGTCTTTTACAAGCTGCTATAGCTTTTCAGCTGTGAATAACAACAAAAGCCATGTATCTGGTTTACGTTCATAATGATCATTTGGAGAGAGTGGCTTTGGAGGGAGGCCTTACGGACGGGCTGTCAAGTGTTGCCGACTTGGCGACTTTCTTGTAAGATTTAGCAACTTTTGGAGCTGTCATTGGAGAGGAGTTGTCAACACTGTGCTCTGTTTTTTTGGTTGTTTGTTTTGCAAGATTACCAAACTCTGCGGTTAAAACCTTGATGTGTTGAGAGGGTAACACTGCTATCGGCTGCTTATATTGTATGTAAACTTGTTTTGAGAATTAAATGACGTACATTTTCTCTCCTCGTTGATGGAAACAGAAACTGAAGAGTTGATTACTGTCCTGAGTGAGTAAGCTACTAACAAAATAAATGTGTTTGATCCAATCATACAGATATAAATAGCACTACAGGAATGTGCCTGATGTTGGCATTAGCTCAGTGCATCTGTTGTTTTGAACTGTGTGTGTAAGTATGATTACAGTAAGTGTATGACAGTAATCTGTCATATACAGATAAGCAGGGCATAGTGTATTGTTAAAGAAGCCTATAATAAGCCTAGATGAAGAGATGGTATTTGCCTCACAAAGAGTAATCAGTCAACATCTACAGAGAACTAGCGATTTGTGTCACTCATATAGCAACATCTAGCAAAGTACCAGTACCAGTAATACACACAAAGCACACATTCACAAACACATTCCTCAAAACCACTATTCATTTGCATGTGTTTTTTTTGCTCTGCCGTAGATCAATGTAATGGTTTTCACTGCATAGCTCAGCAGCGTGAATGCATCCATGAGAGGTTTCCTGAGGCAGCCAGTAAATTTGTTTGATTATACATTTTTCACCATCACATTTGTTCTTGAATTTTAAGAATGAGAACTAATGTATCCCAACCCACTCAGTTTAAGTTGTGTACTTTGCTAAACCAAAGTAGCCAAAGCTAGTGGTAGTAGTTCATCTATAGAATTTGTCTGAAGGCTGGCTGTTTCTCTGTCAGTCCCAGCTGATTTTTATGGACATCTGAAACATCATCCATCCATCATTGCTGCCATTGTCTGCATTGACAGTAAAGCTTTTCATGATATGAGTCTTTTGTATCTGCAGTATGTCTGCTTGTGTGAAGTGTCTTAACATCGTGTTGCGGGGCTTTAACACTCACGGAAATCTTTTCTTTTGTGATTTCAGACAATGTTTGAGAATCTAATAGAATTCTGAATGGGTCACAACCTTAGCTGCTGTTGTAATGGATTTACAGTACATACTTAGGTGTGTCCTGGTTACCTTCTGTCCTCTCTTTGTTTATACTCATAACACACACACATACTGTATATGTTTATGGATATTTTTTTCCCATATACTCATAACACACACACATACTGTATATGTTTATGGATATTTTTTTCCCATATACTCATAACACACACACATACTGTATATGTTTACGGATATTTTTACCCAGTCATCTTATGTTGCAATATGCCAAGCGTTTCCTGAGTTAGTTTGAAAGGTATTTTGTAATTGCCATGTATTTGTGAGCTTTGCATGAAGACAGAAGCAAAAGACTAGTAATTATCTGTTTGGGGAGGAAATGCGTCATGACAAAGGCTCGGGGTAGGGCAACCTTTTCGGTTAGTCGCCACAGGGGATTGAGATGTCGATGGAGACGTGAAGGCGGCATTCACAAATGATGCTGTCGCTGGTTTGTTTTAGCACTCATGGTAATTTAACAAGCACAATGAAACTGGTCATGAGTAGAGACCCTGAAAACAATTGGCAAAGTCCTGTTCACTCTCTTTTGTTTAGGTCCTTGTGTGAGTGCCTGGTTGTAATCGGTCAACTGCGAGTCGTGATTAGAACGATGAGATTTTGAATCTGAAATATGTTGATATATGTATTTTATATGTATATTTTAATACATGTTTTATCGGCACAGAACATATCAAAGTACAGAAGTCCACAACATTGACACACAGAGAAAGGAGAAATTGTCATCGTCAGTCAGATATTGCAGGTCAGACATATATAGGGCAGCAATGATTATTTTCTGGATTAGTTGTGACAGAAAATAGCAAAAAAAATCTCCTTTATGTAATGTTATGTGTATGTAAATTATTGGCCCTATGGTCACATTGTGTTTTTTATGCTTGTAATTTCTGCTCTGTTAAGCACTTTGTGACTTTTGTCTGTGAGAAGCGCTTTATAAATCAATTTTACTTACTTTACTTTACATTTTTCCTGAATTCAAGGTGACATTTTTAAATGTTTCATTTTGTCCGACCAAACCATAAAATATTGAGCAGCTCAAGCTTTGAGTGGAAGTGCAACTCTATAAGGCTTTGCCCCTTCTGTTTGTTTCTCTATGTTTAAACAAGCCATGCTCTCTTAAACATGGAAAAAGTCCATTTGATGTGATGACAACTGTCTTAGATTGACTGTGTAATTATCTCCAGCTGTTCTGCACTGACAATGACTTTAATAAGTTGCAGGCAAGTCTGAAACAGTCACTGGTTTAAAAGTAAACAAAGTAGAGCAGTATAAAAAGTATAGCTTCCTGGTTAATGTCATTTTTTTTTTTTAAATCCACAAATAGAAAACGATTGAAAGGAAGATTGAATTTTGGAAGACACCTCTAATTTCTTTATTTGCCAGAATAAACGCAATTAAGATTGTTTTCCCTCCGGAACTGCTCACCAAAGCTTTCATTACATTGCTAGTTGCCATTCTTCATGAATAGTTTATCTAGCAGAGATCTTGCCTAATTTCAGACTCTAACATACTGGGCTTTAAATGTAAACTCTTTTTCCTGCAGGACAGCGTGAGCATTGCTTACCCTTTTGACGCCGCCATTGTGTCTCCATTAGGCTTAGAAAATGATGTTGTAGATACAATCTCTGTTATTTCCAAATCTAATGCATCTATCTGAACACAATTTAAACCTCAGAACGGTGTTTGTTGAGCCACCTGTATTGCAATTCCCTGCTTTACTCCTTGGAATGTAAATTGTGTCTTTTGAGATAATTACAGACAGATAACATCCGGAGACCTCTGCATACAAGGAATGTTGATGTTGTTTGAATAGCTTCAGGCGAAACACAGATTAAACTGAATCATTTCTGTACATATCTCCAGATAACAAACTGTGCTTGCACAATGAATATCTGCACAAAAAAAGAAAACAAGAAGGAAGAACAAAATCCTAAAAATCCTAGTAGCCTGCTATCAACAACTTTGTCTATTTCAGGCATGTTCTCCCATGCCTCCTTCTATCAATACCCCGGAGCACTGCATGGAAATGAAAGTACACAAAAGCTCTGGTCCTCTGAGAGAAGATGACTCCCATCTCTTTTCAATGGAGACACATTGCATTAAAATCATTGGGACGGAGCTGGGTGTTAATGGGCGTGCATAGTTTGTGGAAGGCAGGATGGAGGGATCCAGGGAAAAAGGGAGAGGGAGAGGGAGAAAGAGAGAGAGACATGCATGGACTTCCTCTCCGCCCATTCTTTAATGCTCACTGAGTAGCCCTGCAGTGCAGGCTTTGCCCCAGTCATTGTCACCGGCTTCGAGAGTCTCTTTGCAAAGTGAGAGGCTTTCGTGTGACATATGTCACTTGAGTGAGTCTCCTGTCGCTCCTTTAGCCGCATGAGTGGAGGGGTGGCCAGGGAGGCGTGTCTGTGCACCACGAGAGGAACAACGTGAGGTTGAGGAGGAAGGACATGTCAGAGATGTTGCTTCAGAGAGAGTTGTCGGAATGATCCCTTGATGGTCCTGTCCTGTACTTTTTTTATGGACTTGTAGTGCAGCAGCCTTGGGTCTCTGCTAGAGGTGGATTTAAGATGTAGAATGACTCAAAAGCCAGTAAGTATTGGTTACTTGAGAAGTATGTCGTCATTAGTCCCTTTCTGTATTTACTGTATATTTATTTGAGTAGAATAACGTGTGTGCAGATCATTTCTGCATTACTTTGCAGTCTTTACTTTGCAGCTACACTTTGATTCAGTCTGTAGGGGTGCTGGTTTGTCAGAGAGGGTTTGGACTTAGCTTGAGTTTCAAGAAAGGGAGGGGGTTGTTGTATACGCCGTGTGTTGGCAAGGATTAGGCCTAGTCATGTAGTAGTCACACTCTTAGTGCCCCGGCCAACTGTTGGCTTAGGAAACAAAATCCCTGCGGATTTGTGGCTATGATCGGCCATGTGTTCAGGTAATAGATCCTTCCGCTTTGTTGTCTGTTTACATAGTGACTCCAACCCATTTCACGCTCTAAAGACTTTGCCTTTTAAACGGACTCTGTCAGCTTTGTTGAGTTATCATTAAAGTGGCAGGTTTGCAGATCTCCACGTGCATATAAAACGTAGTAATGTGCCTCACCTACAAGGTTCCTTGGGCGTGCATGCAGGCAGTGGTTTTGCTGCACGTGAATGAAGGTTGCCGGTTTGGTTGTTGCCAGGATCAACACAAATCTGGATTAAAGGTCCCACTTCTCATGTCACTGGTGGACTGTGGGCCTCCTACCCAACAAGGACTCTACACACTCTGCTGGGCTGATGTGGTTTCTTGTCTGTGATTTAAATCACAACACCGTCCCTTTTACTTATGCTTGTAGTGTAGGTGGTCTCTAATGCAAGGCTGTGTGTGCATGTGCAGCCGTGCACATGCGGGCATGTGTGTGTGTGTGCCTCTGTGTGTGAATTGTAGTATACAATAGCACCAGACCGGGAATGAGAGAGGCTTACAGCTTTATTATGACATGAGAATGCATGTTTACTCGACTGTAACAAACATCTCACCAGCTTTGTTAACCATTCAATCCGGTGGAAGATAATCACAAAAAGTCCTTATTGCAAATAATACTCTGCCACGATATCTCAATTTGTTTAATTGATTCTAAATTCAAGCAGCTTAATCCTGCATCTAGTCTAGAACAATTACCATATTAACCTTTCTCACTAAGAAGGGACAACGCATGCAGCTTTGCGTCCTCAGAAGAACCCTGAGTAGCACTCAGTCATTGTTAAGCAGCGTACTGTATGACTGCCGGAGCTCCCCGCCTTCATTCTCCTGATAGCAGGATTAGTTAGAGGGTGAGCAAATTTGGCATTGCCAGTGCTGCCACCACAGTCTCAGCACTGTGAGAACTAAGCCGTGAAATACTGACGGGCTTAGACCAATTTAGAGGCTGCCATCTTGGATCTAGCGATTGTAGCAGACGGCAGCTTTGTGCCGGTCAGGTTTACTGTAAGCATGCCATGCGATGCCACCAGTCAGGCTTTACAGTTCAAAGGGTAATCTCTAAACAAGTGTTGTGCTGTGTTGTGCGCTGACATCAAGACAATGAGGGACAACTAAAGCTAAATATCAAGTACATACATAAGGCACAGGTTCTTTAAATTAGCCTTGATACAGAACTTTACCTCTCTTCTTCTTTATACATGAAAAATCAAAGACATTTAATGTGCAAACTGCTGCAATTGAATTGATTTAATTAGAATAAATGTTGATATTTCATTAGATTTTTTTTTTGTATCCATTGCTCTCTACTACTACTTCTCTGTGACCATTCTGCCTCTGTGTGCTAAGCCTTTTATATCCATTCAATAAATGTCCATTAGGTAATCTACATTTACTTGCAAAACATCATGAGGAACATCATTCTTACCCTGAGGCACAGCATAGGACAAGGAGATCATCCAAACAGAACAGAAGGAATCTATAATGCATTTTAATTGGGATTATCCAAGAGAAACACTGCAAAGTGCATGGGTTTGACAGGTTTTTATGGTGTCAGATTTTGTTCAAGCATTTACATTCTGGTTTTCTTTACTTTCACTCGGATGTCAGGCACAATATAAAGGTGCCTGTTTTCAACAATGGCACCTTAAGTGTCATTATTCGCAGCTCATTTAGGAGAAAACAACTCTCCGTCTGCTATGTTAATTCAGTGCTGCAGCTCTGATTGGAACAGACGCTTGTAATGCTCTTCATTTGCCATTGCTGTTTTTTTCCCCCCAAGTTAAATCAAATCATGTTTTAATATTTATCTGACTCTGCCAGGTCCTCTGTGCCTTACAAATCCCAAGTGACGCCAGTTGATCTGCATCAACACGTTCTCTGATCTCCACCGTCTCCATAAAGGAGGGAGATGAGGTTGGAGGGGAGCCTGCAGCTTGTTCTGCTTTTGGCCTTGACCTCCACAGCCACAGGCCTCAACATTCCTATAGAAGGTAGGAGTGTCGTGATAACGATTCAGGTCATGCTTACTTAAATCAGTACTTAATCTCCAGTAAATATGAAATCGATTTACAAGGTTTGATTGACATTGGTTTTATCTTATATTTGTAAATTGAACTGGTTGCTCAATGTGTAATATTTCATTTCATCCCTCTTTCTGTTTTGACATTTGTCAAAGGTGTGTATTCATATTTTTAGCTGTCCACCCTGCTTGAGTATGAATGTTAGCAGCTTTTTCAAATTGTGACAAACCAATAACAACTTAGACTAAATAGTTTATGTTGCAAGTGTTGCAGCAGAGGTGTCTTTGTTTAGGGCTATGAAGTGCTGGTGTGCTGTTTCAGTTCAGACTCCTTATTTGTCCAGATGATGTTGGCATACAACTTTACCTTCTCAGCTTCATATAGGGCAGTAGGAATAAATAGGAAACGGCAGAGGCATTATTTTTTTGCGGTGTAATCTTGTAGCAGAAACGTCACCAATGTTAACATTTAATACTTTTATGTGTCTTCATATTACAGTGGAGCAGCCTCCAACCATAATAACTCACACATCTGGTCCCGTTATTGCCCTTCCTTTTGACAACACCATTACTATCAGGTGTAAAGCCAGGGGCAACCCACCACCACAGTAAGTGAAACAAACATTATGACCTGAAGATGAACCGTGGCAAAACACATAACCTTCTGAATATTTAATCGATTGATGGAAACCTGCTTTTGCTCCAACAGATACAGATGGACAAAAGATGGCGAAGACTTTGTCCCTCCCTACATCCCGACAGAACACACAGATGGCACCTTTATGCTTCGCAAAGAGCATCTCATCCTGTTTCAGGGTAAATACCGATGCTACGCTTCTAACAAGCTGGGAACTGCCATGACGGAGGAGATTGAACTGAGAGTTCCCGGTGAGTAACCTTTACATAAGAAATTCATCTATTACATGCAATTGCTGATTATTGCCTTTCAAAGTCACCATGTAAGTGAATTTCCTTTTCAAGTTTTCTTGATAAGGTTTTCCTTTTGTTTGATGTTGTTTTTTTATTAGGTGACCCCAAGTTTCCAAAGGAGTTGAATTTCCCCATTTTAGTTATGGAGGGAGAGCCAATCACCCTGGAGTGTAACCCTCCAGAAGGCGCGGCCCCACGTCAGATCTACTGGATGTCTATTGGTAAGGCAACAGTTTGTGCTTGGAATTTAAATGGTGGATTAGTTGGCTGATTGACTTCCCCCAGAAAACAGTCAATACTCTTCGTATGTAAGTCTTTATGAATACATAAAGACTCTTCAAACCACTTCATCACTTTCAGTTGTGTTTTACTTTTGTTACATTGATGGTGCAGGGGTGGAGGGGGGAAAACATTCGCCCACCACTGCAGTCTTCACCGGTAAGGGATCACGTTCGCGTCATTGCGAAAGGCGCGCCGTGCAGGGTTCTCTCACGGGATAGTATGGATAGTGTGAAGGTCTGTTTGCGTCACACCTTCCTGAAGTTTCTCCCAGATGAAAAGGAGTAGTGGGTGACACCATGTGCTTTGGAAGAGGCACATGGCTGTCCTTCCCCTCCACTGGCCACCAGGGAATTTAGCAGTGACAATAAGAAGGACAGTCAAGGAAAGGTACACACTTGAGGCCCACAAGTTTCTTCCCACCACTGCCAAAGAAAAGTCATTTGCCTAGTAAAAAAAGTCACCTCAGTTCTGTGTGAAGTGCTTTGTCAATAGGGGCTGAGTTTTCTGTCCAACCCCTTGAGAGCTCCTCAACCGCCTCCAACAAACCTGACTGATGTCAGAGAGAAAAACAGTCTTTTAGGTGTTTAGGTGGATGGGCCCTAGAGGCGTGGAGCAGAGTGAATGAAAACACTTTTAAAATCTTTGTCTTAGTTTCACACATTCATATTTCCAGGGATTGTCACAACAATCAAAAAAAAATTGCACATGATAAAAGATACTTTGATGTCTATAAAACAAAAACATCTCAAAGAAAACGGCGATGATGTGTGCGTCTTCGCTTGCAGCAGAGCCTTGTGTTCTCTGCGTGCAGTCCACGTTCATTAGTTGGAAAAATATCATTCACCTCGTATTAGTGCCATGTATTGTACATTTTTTGCCTTGAACATTGACTAAACAACCAATGACTTAAGGCGCTGTTTTAAAGGAAACTGTTAGTTACTGTGAATGGGGCTGACCAAGGAGTGATACCACTGACCCGAGACTCGAATGATGGCTCTATGTAAACTAAATATGCTGTCACAGTGCACTTCACCGAGTTCACCGGCTCCATACAAGGAAACCCTTCAGGGCATTTCCATTAACGTCTAGTTTACATGAGGCTGTACTCCAATCTGCTATCATGAGACCTGAGTCTCATTATGAGGTTATTTCACTCTCGACCCTCTGGTGCACCTGATGGATATATTTAAGAAGTTCTGTCCAGTATGTGCTTTCTTACCAGCCAAAATGAATCTCAAAAAGCAGACACCATCTACGTTGACGACATATCATTGATGTAAATATGCTCTTTTCCAGGTCTCCAGCACATTGAGCAGGATGAGAGGGTTTCCATGGGCACTGATGGCAACCTGTACTTCTCTAATGCCTTACCGAATGACAGTCGTCTGGACTACTGTTGCTTTGCTGCCTTCTCTACAATACGCACCATCGTCCAGAAAACCGCCATGGCTGTCTCGGTCAAGAGCTGTAGGTCTACAAAATAGTCTGTGTTGTCTTAACCACTTGTAAATCATGATATCAAGTACATGTCTCTCAGAAGTGAAAGCAAAAATGTTGTTATCAAGATGTTCCTCCATCGCATACCAAGAAGCAGGGCGTGCCTTATCACGCTTAGGCTCAAGCAAACGCTACCACCGCAATCATTCTCAGAGTATTTTGTTTTTCTTCCAGTGAATCCTGGCAATGGGTCAGCTGACAGCGGCAATGCCAGTGAGTGATTCACACATCAAAGCCTTCACAGTACAAATCAAAGTGCATCTCATGTGAACAGGAAGCACAGTTGGTTTTCATGTTGCAAGAAGCTGCAGATAGCAGATTGACTATAATCTTGTGTGTTGATTATCTAACCGTTGATCAAAATTATACATCTGACTGAGGAAGACTGCGGTCTGTGTTCAACACAGCTCAAGCCCCCCCAGTGAGAATGCCCGGCCTGCTGCTGCCCTCTGGTGTGCAGACAGAGAAAGTGCTGTTGAAGGGAGAGAATCTGCAGCTTGAGTGTATACCACAGGGATAGTATGTATACATGCCGTATCATCACATTATCTCTATATTTAAATAATAATGTTGTCATATTTACCTGCTGTTGCGCTTCATACTGTGTCGTTTCCTGTCGTAGTCCCACTCCAACGATAACATGGATGAAAATGGGAGACAAGTTGCCTGTTCGGAAACAATTCAACAACTTTGGAAAGATGTTGTCCATATCGTCTGTAGATGAGTCGGATGGCGGGAAATACATGTGTAAAGCCCAAAACTCTGCTGGAGAGACTGTCCACTACTTTGATGTAATAGTGGAAGGTAGGAGCTAACATGTATTTGTGGCTGCATTTGTTTTTGTCTTCAAAGAGAAAGCTGTCGACACAGGAACGGCAGTTGTTGTTGTTTTTTGTCTCAAACCAACATGGTTCTTCTTAACGTCCCTCAGATCTGCCAAAGTGGGAGACAGAGCCTCCTCAAAGCCAGCTGACTGTGATTGGGAGTGATGTTCACATCAAGTGTTCGGTCAGTGGAAAACCATCGCCAGACATAACGTGGAGGAGGAATGGAGAATGGTTCAGGGGTGAGTGGGAATAATTCTAGCTGTGGTTTTATGCATCTTTGACAAAGGGCAGGAGGACAGTGCAGCAAGCAGCTACACCACATCTTCAACCACACAACTGAAAGCCGACAAGCAGCTGTTCTGCCAAGTGTCCTTCAAAGCTCAAGGGACAGACTCGATTCCTTGACAGGGAATGTTAATGCACATTTTCCCAATTTAACCTGAAAAGTAATAGTCTTTTCTTTACTGATTATAAGTTCATGTAAGAAATGTGGAAAAAGATGTTGATGAATGAATTACGTATTCTAATTATGAGCAGGTCATTTCTTAGCAGGGAATGCAACACAATCTTGCAGGAGTGGTGTAGTCTTGAGATTCATATTGTAAATGTTTTAAAGGCTTTTCATGTATTCATAGGATTTGTTTAGGTGCATAAGTGATTTAAAAAAATGTTTAAAAGAATATATTTCTACTAAAGTTGGATGTCCAAGATTTATCATCTTGTATTTACTGTTACGTCATATGTGTTGGTTAGGTTTTTATTTAACTGTCAAAGTTCTTGCCTCCGTACACATCTGTGTCTTCCAAATTGGTAAATATAGTATATATATATATCATTTTCTATCAGAGAAAATGTGCAAACGGTCATGTTATTTAAAAGAAACTGGCACCAGGGAATGTTTATTTGTGCATATAAAATGACTTATTATTAAAATCCTTTCCAATTCTCTTTCGAGTAAGCAACCAATCGTTTTGTCTCTTATTTGTATCAGATTTTTAAAAACTTTTATACGTTGACATCAGTGTTACGCTAAACAAGCCATGTTGGTTGTGCTTTAGTGTAGTCCTTGTAAATTAACTCTGCTGACATGTTTTTATGTGTGTGCGTGTGTGTGTGTGTTGCTGTCAGATGACCCAGGGAGCAGCAGGCGAGTGCTTGATGACACTGTGCTGCTCCATAACGCCAGAGCAGAGGACAGTGCCGTCTACCAGTGTGAAGCCTCCAACATTCATGGCAGTGTCCTGGCCAACATTAACATCATGGTCATGAGTGAGTATCAGAGCAAGACTTAAACCTTGCACAGCCAGCCAGGACATAAACACAATGGCCACTTTATCAGGTTCACCTGGCTGTGGGAAATGTGGTGTTGTTGGCTCAATAGCATTTCACAGTTTGTTTTTTTGGAGTGCTTTTATCCAGTGTGCTTTGAAATTTGCCTCTCATACACCCATTCACATTTTGAAATTTCGTAGTACAGTGTGTGTGAGTCACCGTCTGGCGGAGTAGATGTAAAGTCAAATGGAGGTTTGCCAGATGAATAGGCCTATATGTCAGCATAGAGAGTGAGCTCAGAGGTGAGCACGGAGGTGAGCGCACATTCTTAACATGGTTTCTTCCATATCCATGATATCCAGTAGCAGTCATTTTTCTCATCTTTTAGTTGTAATCCCTGCTGTGTGAAACAAATATAGTGTTCAACCCATCTCTGTCCTGCTGTTATTACAGCCAATTCATTTATTATTTCATAAAGTGTGAGAAAGTGGTAAAAAAAAAAAAAACGCCCATCACAATTTCACAAGGTTTCATACTTAGATTGCTTGTTCAGTCTGAGTACATTTATTATCATAGAAGACTAAGAAATCTGGCAAATGTTCTAATTTTACAAGATGGATCTAGTGGATTGTTGAAATTGTTGCCAATTAATTCATTTTCTTTTTTATTGAATTGATTTATTGTTTGATCGTTTCAGCTCTACAGTCATTATCTGACATAGCCACTCAAAATGTCAATGGGATTTTGAATGAGCTTTTCTCACTTCAGCACTTCGGCTTTCTTTAAAGAAATCTTACATCTCTTGAAGTGTTACAAGAGGTGTGATGCCTGCGTCTGAATTATACCTGTGTTTTCAGTCATCTGCTCTTCTGTCCCCATTTCTTGCGGGACATAAATTCTCACAGGCAATAACTTGACATTTAAGCAGCTGAAATCCTCCGTTTCTCTTAGATATTGCCCCGCGAATACTGACAATGGACTTCCAAGAGTATGCTGTGGTACTAGGAGCGGACATCGTCATGAACTGCAGTGTGTTCAGCTCTCCACCACCCACCATCTCCTGGTAAGTGGTTATCAGGAACAACAGGTCGTGTTGGTGACATCTGTCAGTGAGAAGTTTCACTACATTTTAACACGTGTGTTTAAGACAAAAGAACTTCACGCCTTCATTCAGTGTAATATGTGTTCTACGGGTAACAGCTTACGTCACTGTATCAGTCAGTTCTGTGCAGTTTACAGATGTGAACATATACAGCACGGTATCACAGCAGTGATTCCTGCTCTTAATCCACACTGCTTCAGGTGTCTGCAGGACATAGATGTTGACACTTGTGTCTATTCAATTAGATAATCCTCTCCTGTTCCTTGAAATTGGGCTAATTAAGTCTATGAACCATCACTGCAGCTCTGCTCCAGTTCTACTAAAGGAAAATAGGATCTCAGACAGTCATGAAAAAATACTCTTAGCTTTACCCCTCAGAATATTAGGATACTTCTTTAAAATGATATTCCACATTTTTTCACAATTTGTTGGCAAAAATGAAATGAAATGACAATTGTAAAAATGAAATAGGCATGATTAACTAATTAACTAAACTAATTGGAGAAATCTTTCTCTCCTAGGGTCAAAGATGAGACTCTAGAGACCATCGAAGGGGAACGATTTTTTGCTGTGAGCGAATCTTTGCGAATCATCAGTGCCGAAAAAAACGACAGCGGGGAATATGTGTGTGTTGCCTCTAACAAGGAGGGGAAGTCATCTGTCACCGCTGTGCTGGATGTGAAAGGTATCTCAGCAACATGATTAGTGCTTTCTTAAAGCAAGTGCCAGTTCGCCCAGTTTCTATCTGCTTTGCTGGATGGAGTAACATCTTTTTTTTCGCGTTCAGTAGAAGGCTTTGGCTTGTATGCAAAACCACATAACAAAAACAGTTTAAGTTGTGGAAGGTAGACTCAAAGAGATTCAGAGCATGCAGGAGTTATGAATAGATATTCTCTCTGGCCGCAGCCTAACAAAACAACCATTATCTTATCTGTTTTCAAAAGGGGATTTTGACCCTTGCTTTTTCTGTCTTTAGACCCGACAAAAATAGTCCACCCACCTCAGGACGTGCAGATCATCAGTGGGACCACAGCCCAGTTGATGTGCCAGGCAGAGTTTGATAAAAGCCTGCGGGGTACCTTTGAGGTGGTTTGGAGGAAGGATAGCGAGGAGATCCCACTTTCCTCTGAGGAAAATTCCAGGTAGGTTGCTGTGACTTGATAGTGTTTCCATTAGTTTTCAGGTGTGGTTTTGCTTTAGATGGCTTTGTCCAGCGTCTTTATCTCTGTGCTAATGCTCAGGAAGACAAAATGCATGAAAAGTCCCAACAGCTTTGTGCCTTGTTCTGCTCAGTAGAGGGTCAACGGCAGGGGATTTCGCTCTACTTTTGTCTGCTTAATGAATTTACTGATTACCTCTGCCAAGGATGTTGTACATTGTTTTGCCTGGTTATTGGTTCGCTATCTAAGAAAAAAAAAATGCAAAACTTACTTGAATGGGAAAAAAATCTGGCACGTATAAGCCATGATTATGTGCATTTTGATGCAGATCCCGATTTAGATGTAGACAGAAACAAAATCTAAACTTTTCCTATTATCAAAATCAATAACAAGGCAGAGGATTGTGCAGCTTTGGCAGAGGTACTGTCGACGCTCACCGAGTACTTGATTGATTGCATTTACATTACAGCTGTGTACTAACGAATGTGCTTACACATTCAGATACTTTGTGGACGATGGCATGCTGCAGATCATGAGTGTGAATCTGAGCGATCAGGGAATATACACATGCATTGCTAGGACAAGCCTAGATGAGGACAATGCCACTGCACTACTGACTGTGCTGGGTAAGATGGTTTAGTAAATCATATAGTAGAGAGAGTATTTCATTATTCACTATGAGTTCTTTGAAAGAACAATTATATGAATTATTAAAACAGGTGGGTTTGTTGTGTTTTGGACATCATTGTTATGTTTTTTTCGCCCCCAGATATTTTGGGTGTTCAATTGACAGTTTCTACTGAGCACCTACTGTTGTTTGTATTTTGTGTCGCAGACGTTCCCGATGCTCCACAAGATGTAGAGGTATCTGAACTGAAGAGTCCGAGAAATGTTCGCCTGTCTTGGATACCTGGGAGTGATCACAACAGCTCTGTAACAGGTAGGAAGTTCATTTAGAAGAAGTAGAAGAAGAAGAACATCCGAGGTCTGAAAGAGGTGGTAGCGGTGTTAGATAATGCAACAGATAAACAACATTTTCCAGAAGATCATCAACAGTTGCTTGCATACTGCGTACTGTTGTGACTGTCAGTTACACTTAAATTTACGGCATACGTGATGATGTAATTACTATGTAATTGTGTTGTAGTTTCAAAATAACTAGAGTGAGGAAATTAGGCATGTAGGCCCTTTCCAACTCTGGCCATCCATAAGACACGACTGGGCTGAACGAATGTAATAGAATAGACGAGATTCCAACTTTATTGTTCAGCTGGAAGTTTTCAGACAATAAACTACATAAGAATATATTAGCACATAAACAAAGTAATAACATGCACACACTCTGCCCAGGAACTTGGCACTTTACTGCATCACCTAAAGCCTGCAGACTACCATTTAAAACTGGTTTAGAATTGTTCTTTAGGGAGCTCCTAGGTAGCCGAGTGGTTATACAACTGCAAGGTCATGGGTTCGATTCTGGCCTTTGGACTTTGATGCATGTCATACACCGCTCTCTCTCTCTCTCTCTCTCCCCCCCATTACTACACTATCCTCTATCAAATAAAGGCGAAAATGCTAAAAAAATAAAAATCTGTTACTATACATCACAAAACGCTGTCATGTCCCCCTTCTGAGAGTTAACAGACTCAGCTGCTGCGCTAGATAAAGTTCTTTAACAATAGCTGTGAAGTCCTGAGGATCCTGGCACAGAAGCTTGTGTCTCATTTATGCTTCAAAAAGAGACTCATTTATTTTTGGAAGTTAGGGATGTTAAGAATTACGATCAATTGATAAATGTATCCTTGTAGTGTTTATTAGCTTGGATGTGTGTTATCTGTAATCAGAAATTAGAATAGACATGCCTGAAGAAGGTCCTTTGTTGTGCTGAAATGTGCAGACATTTTATTTGTTGAATCAAACATCTTGGTGCAACAGACCTCAGTTGTAAGGCCGGCTCTTTTATAAGCGATATCTGTGGATCAGTTTGGCTCAGCACCAGATGAATATGTGTAATGATATTCATTTATTAAAATTTATTAAAATTGCAAAAAACTATGGCTGTACCTGAAATTGCTCCCTTTTTTTTAAACGTATTTATTATTTTCTACATGATAAATATTCAGTTAGGTAGTAGGTAAATGAGATTTCGGACATGAATCATCATCATTTTCATCACAGTTACAGGTGTAGTGTGGCTTAATGAATTTACACATTTGTCATTTCAGGAACAATTGCAGAAAAGTAGAATCGTTTATATAACCCTACTATAATGATTAGCATTACCTTTGAAGTTGATTTGGCAAATTTATTAGCAAACAGCTGCTAAGTTATACATCCAGAAGTTAGAGAGTAACAGTATCATGCATTTTAGTCATGTTTCTGACTACTTGTCCAATATTCACTCCACTCCACTTGCAGCTTTGTTTTTGGTCTCGACCATCTCCTGAGCGAAACGCATGGCTCATTAACGGCTTAATGCTCCGCTATGTTTACCCGCTACTCGTTTACTGTGTCTGTCCGCTGTTTGGTACTGAACATGTAGTGTTCAGTGGGTTTTTATAGCTTTTTTTTTTTGCAGAAAACCGCTGCCTGTTGAGGCAATTAACCGAGCTTATCAGAAAGGCTGGAAGCAAACAGCCAGCCTCTCCAAAGTAAAAAAAAAAAATCTGCCAACCAACACACCTTAAGCTAAATGCTAAGTCAACCTAATTGCCCCTGAATCTAGCTTTGTACTTGCTACACATTTAAGAAAGTCCCTTCTTCTTACTCTCAGAAAGAAAGCAAAAAAAACGAAAACATTTTTAGAAAGTTGAATTATTCCTTTATTGGTCCCGTGAAAGTGTTCATGTGTGCTGCAGATAATCTTATTAGTGATGTTGAGTGGACTGTGCAGTGAAACAAATAGGAGTCTAATGCGTGCTTCCTCAGCAGTGATGACTGAATGTGTCTGTCTTGTCTCCTCCATGAGCACAGAATTTATAGTGGAGTATGAGGAGAGCCAATGGGAGCCCGGCAGGTGGAAGGAGCTACAGAAAGTCCCCGGTAACCAGGCAACAGCCGAGCTTGCACTACAAGGACACCTTAACTACCAGTTCAGAGTGTATGCCGTCAACGCTGTTGGACCTGGACCCCCCAGTGAGCCCATTGAGGGATACAAAACACCTCCTGCTGGTGAGACTCGCTCCCTTTAATTAACATTATATCTGCTTGTATTTTTTGATTGTGAAAGCATGCAAAGTTTTAACATTTCTTTTGAAGCGTGCAGAGAGTTGCTGTGTGGCGGGGCCAGCCTTTGGCCTCAGGATTTTGTAGCAGTATGGGGTGTAGATACGTTTGGGTCTGAGGAGTATTAGCTCCTGCTTGATCTTGGCTCTCATATGAATATACTTATGTATGAAATGAGGATACTTGTCAAAGAGTCTTAGCTCTTAGCTTTAGCTTATCGGCGTGGATACATATTTGCATTTTAGCAGAAAATGACTACAGTCAAAAAATAGTAAGATGTACTCCTTTGTGCTTTTTTTTCTCCAATTTATAAATATATGATTATACAACTTCTCTTCAAAGCTCCTGATAAAAACCCAGAAAACATCAAAATTCAAGGCCACCTCCCTCATCAAATGGACATTAGCTGGGAGGTAAGAGACATATCGATCCGTAAGATTGTACTGTGAAAACCATTATATTATGGAAGCAAGATTTTTAAGTCATCAGTACACTTTCCTGTTGTAGCCACTGTTGCCTATTGAACACAATGGCCCAGGCCTCGAGTACAAGGTGAGCTACAGGAAACTGGACGTGGACGATGTCTGGAGGGAACATCTGGTCAAAAGGCACTCCTTTGTCGTGAGGAACACGTCCACTTTTGTCCCCTATGAAATCAAAATTCAGAGCAGGAACAGCCACGGCTGGGGACCAGATCCTAAAATCGTTACTGGTTACTCTGGAGAAGACGGTGAGTTACAGACTTAAAACTTGCTCTACTGTATGTATTCATGTCATTAATATATATTAATATTTGATTCTCAATATATATATTAAAAAGCCTAAGGCTGAAGCAGCACATGCAGCTCTTGTTTTGCTTGTGACTTACTGTGCTATCGTATCCCACCCTGTCTTCAGTCGTCTTTTGGCATTGTCTGCGGGAAAATGTGTCAGGTTAAGTTCTTTCCTTTTTTCCTTTTGCTCGTGGTTTTTAACCCTGTGTGGCTGTGCAGTAGTCCCCTCTGAAAAAAAAGAAAAGAAACATCTTTGACTAAATCCAGCAGGTGGCAGATAACCTTTTGTAGAGCAGAGGGATGTCAAATTTCCACTTCTGTTTCAGAAGCTGTGAGAGATTTGACAGATCGCGACACACTTCTTGCTGTAGACCTACTGAAGCACAATGGCTGCTTCTCTCTTTAGTGTCTGCTGTGCTTTTCCTACTTCTACTTCAGTAGCATGTAGAGCAGAAAATATTGAGAGCATTTTTATTCCATGTTTGGTGTTGTATTTGTCCCTACTGAGAAGAAGAAATAGAAACTGCTTCATTCGGTGTCCAGCTGAGTTTGTATTTGTGCATATTTATGCTGATGTACCAGCATCACTGTTTTTATTTACTGCCGTAACCAGCAACAGCTCATCTCTCCACAGCCTTAAACAAGAGAACAGCCCATACCATCAAATTAGGCTGTTTTTGTCCAACAGGATAATTGTGTTGTTTCCCTCACTGTGTATGCAATCTATTGTTTTCAGTTTATTTCCTTCCTTTTTATATGTTTTAGTGTTAAAGAGTTTTGGCAGTGGTAACCTGTTGTTTGCAGTATTGTCTGTATTCCTGACCATCCTCTATGTGCGGTTCAGTCCCGACTGCAGCACCACGGGACATAGCAGTGGAGCTGATCAACACCACTGTCCTGAGAGTTAGCTGGACCCCTGCTCCACCTGCCACAGTGAGAGGTCATCTAGGGGGCTACGATGTGAGTTTTTTGATGGTCCTGATACCTGATTTCTTCCAGACTACGTTCTATAACTGAAGACTTTCAATGGCAAAACAGCACATTTTGTAGCACTTTACAGTATCTTACAATACAGTAATGACTTGGTGTTTACATGAGAAAACTTACAAAGTGTTAATTAGAGTTAAAGTCCTTTACCTGGTGCAATTAGATCTTCATTCTAGATCTATAATAATAATAATAATACATCAAATTTATATAGCGCTTTTCAAAATACCCAAAGACGCTTTACAGGGCAGAGACAAACACAACAAACAAACAAAAAGAAAGAAAAAAAAAAAGAAAGACAGAGGAGCAAACAAAACAAACAAACAGAACATTTTGGTAAAAAAAACGAATAACTAGAGAAGCTGTGCGGAATAGGTCATGTAGTGGAGGGTAGGGTGCAGGGGTTAGCAGGTGAAGGCGAGTTTGAAGAGGTGGGTTTTGAGGGCTTGTTTGAATGAGGATAGGGAGGGAGCCTCACGGATGTGGATGGGGAGGGCGTTCCAGAGGGGAGGTGCAGCAGCTGAGAAGGCCCTGTCACCCCAGGTCCGGCGCTTGGTCCTGATGGTCTTCAGAGTGTTTGTACCGGCGGACCTGAGGCAACGGGTTGGGGCGAGGAGGAGGAGGAGGTCTGAAAGGTAGGGAGGGGCCAGGTTGTTTAGAGCTTTGTAGGTGGTGAGTAATATTTTGAAGTCTATTCTGTATTTGACCGGGAGCCAGTGGAGGTTGTGAAGGACCGGGGTGATGTGTTCATAGCGGCGGGTGGAAGTGAGCAGTTGAGCGGCAGAGTTCTGAACATATTGATCTCATTATAATAGATATTTGCGGACTTTAAATCTTTTCACTCGTCTGTCTTCAGTGTTTCACAACCAAAGACAGCTCCCCTGGAAGCAACACATTGACATTTGTTGTAAAAAATGGACAAGACACACAGTTTTCTAAAAATAAAGGTATATGTCAGTTCAATTTGACAACTGTATCTAATCCGATAGTGACTTGGTCATTGTTGTGATGAGCAAATAGAGAAAGATTATTCTCTGAAAATGTAATATTTGGTGAGGTTCACCCAACTGGATTTGTTTTCACTCTCTGTATTTCAAACTCTCCTAATGGCCCTTTTCCGAAACGGCGCATCTTCTCCGGTCCAGTGATTTTGTCATTAAGAAACATCCACCTGATGAACTCAACGATGATATCTCTGCATGTGCTCACAGAGGCATCTCAGTTTTAAGAGAAGAAGTAGTTTCATTAATGTATAATTTAATGAAACAAATGTTATGACAATAGTTCAATTAAAAGGCATTTTTAAATGTGGTGATATGATTCAAATTCTGTAAAAATGATGTGTGTAGGTGTTACAGTGGTTAACAGAGTGACGATGACAACGTGATAGTGTGAAGTAGCTACTCTGTCACACACCTTTACTTTGGGTGATTGGCAACAAAAGCCACATCTCAGATTCACAGTTCATATGCGATGTCTGATTTCACATATCTGCCTCATTAAAGGGGAAACCAGGCAACAATTGTTGCTCCTCAACATTTTCTATCTGTCTCTTCCCTCCCTCCTCTCTGTGGACTCTGTTCAAACTTGTCCCTCATCCCCATGTTCCATTACTTCCCTCTCACAGGTTCACTGGTTGAGGAAAAGAAGTTTGCTGGAGCCCGACAAGATTTTAGATGACCGCCGGTCGCTGTCTTTTCCCGGGAAGAGGACTCATGCCATCGTGCCGGGCCTTGAGCCTTTCTCCGAGTACAGACTCACTGTCAATGTTTTCAACAAGAAGGGCAATGGGCCCAACAGTGACCCGGTCACCTTCAACACTCCAGAGGGAGGTGAGCTGACGCAAACGTACAACACACAACACATGGTGTGATCCTCACACACTTATAAGTACCGGCACTAAGTATACAACAACTGAAAAAACACTCAAGCTTGCAGAAATATACAGTACCAACATGGTGGACATTGAATGTGACTCAGGCAACGAGACAAGGAATTTAAACAAAAACACTTATTTTATTTACATTAAAGTCTCAATGTTTGAGCTCACCTTGCAGCATAATAAATGGGCAGAGTTTGACACCAGAGCACAGTTTTCACAAGAAGAAAAATGTCTATGTGTTCACCTTGAATCTGAATATACCTACAAGCATGAACACAACTAGTGTGGAAATCAATCATGGTCCAGTGTGCAACTTAAACTTGAAACCTCCGATGAACAGACACTGAGAATGGACATTTCAGTGACGTTTTCAAAGAGGGAGATGGAGTAGATGTCATTTTAAAAGTGTAAACTAGGTAATTCAACTTTTGTAGGAAAAACAGTATCGACACAAATTAGAATAAAATATTTTTTAAGTATTTTTTTGTATGTTTCGAAGCATATCTTAAATAAAATTGATAAAATACAATGTTTAGCTTTAAGGGCAGAAGAGAAAGAAGAAGTCACCAAAGGTGGTTTATCATGAAAATACTTATCAAAGGCTGCTTAATGTTACAGCTTTGTGAAATGACAAAGCTGCTTAAAACAGGCAAACTGTCATATGCTCATATGATCAGTGTGTCTTTCATCTGTTTGAAAAATAAAAGTGAAAAGAAAGCTTAAAGCACGGAATAAATATCAAGCATAAAAAGACACCTGGGAGAGAAAGAAATCTTAACTTATTTGGACTTGACTGAAAAAAACAAAAGCAAACTTGCTTTGATGCAATGTTTTACCACCTCCACATGAATAACAAGTTGCTCGATAAAAGCTGTCTATGCAGTAGAAACATTAACATTACTGTCATTTTTTTATAGTTCCTGAGCAAGTGCCCATTCTGACGGCCTCCAACGCTAAGAAAGACTCCATTTTGCTGGTCTGGGGCCCACCGCGGGAGACAAACGGCATCCTCACTGGTTATCTCCTGCAGCACCACCTCAGTATGTACACACACAATGTTGTTTGACTAATTACTCATTGCAGACCTCTGGCCCTACGTTAGCTTTTTTCATTAATAGATGTCTCCTTGCTGGAGCTCAGCGATTTGTCCGTCGTGCGAGAAAATGTGGGCAAAGTGTACGCAGGAGTGTAGCTGCGGTGTGAGTAGGTGAGAATAGATCAGGTTGTAGGGGGGGAGGAAGTGTGGAGTAGGTGGATCTGAGATTATTGTTGAGTCTACAGGTTTCGTGTTCATTTGGTGAAAAGCATGGAAAAGATGAAAGCATACTACACACACACACACACACACATACAATCATCTACACTTCTTCCTGTCCTCTCTTGTGTTATCATACCAGACACTAGGTTGCACTGTTTAACACTGAACCACCATGGTGGGCAACAGTCCAACTGTGCAGGCCACAGATTCCTTCCTCTGTGTTTCTTATCATGGTATCCTCCTAAGTCAGTGCTGTTTGTGCCTCTTAAATTAATGTATTTGGCATTTATCACTAAGAAGTATTTCACCTTGCAAAAAAAAAAAAAAACCCCACAGTGAGGGTGAAGAAGTCAGTGAGGGGCTTTCATCACGCTCTCTCTGTTTTCAAAGCCTACACTCTCGTTTGGTTGACATTTCTGAAATCTTTTGTGTGAAACGTGAAAGCAGAGACAGCCCTTTGCCGCCTCCACCAGCAACCCACGGAGTCTGGCCAGCTCTTCAATGCACTTGGTCCCCCTCTCCTTTCTGCTTTCTTTCCCATATCAGATGTCAGACTTGACACAGAGATTCCCACACAATGCAGTCCGTGGGTGTTGGAGGGATTTTTTTTTTTTTTGGGGGGGTTGGATTGATTCACCATGTAATTCAGGCAGATCTCAAATTTTGTTTTGCGTCAACCCTGTTAAATGTTATATGTTATACTACAGCACATCCAGTTGAGTCATGCAACCGCTGTGTAATTAGTCAATTGATAATTCTTACAGTGTTCACAAACATATGGGATATCCAGCTTTCTGTGCTGTAAACAAACATCAATTTTCCGAAGCGGCGTCACAGGCTTGGCACATATTCGGTTTTCATCTGCGTCTCAACATTGGCACAGTAATGACATCAACGTGGGGGGGGGGGTGTTCAGGAGAAGTGTGTCGCTTTCTACAGTCTGCACACATACTGTATTTTGATCTATAATGCAAGTTTGGTGATACATTATGCTGCTTGTGATTGCTGCTCCTCTGATGTCCTTCTCCTGTGTCTGCCTTACGTTTATTTCTTTCTTTAGTCTGTCTGTCTTGCTTCTGTTTTTGTCCACCTGCCCTTTACACAAAGTTCTTTAAGCTTTTCCTCTGTCATATATACTCCAGTTCTTCCTACTCCTGTATTTCTTTCTCCTCTCTCCTCCTCCTCTTTTCACTGATTGCCACTTGCCCCCCCAGCTCCTCTTGAGCTCTCTATCTCCTCCTTTCATCTCCTCTCCCCTTTCTTCATAATGTATTCCTCCTCAGCTCACCTGTCACAACATGTATCTGCTATACTCACTTTCTGCTTGAGCTAGCATGACATCTCGTTGTCTCCCCCTCCCTCAACCATTGACCCTCATTACAGTCGTGCGCCATTAACATACAACACGAGCCAACGGTGGCGACTTTTTCTGCGTGTATCCGTCGTAGGCTCACTCATGCCTCGTGAACTGACCTGACATCTTTCTCCTTCCTCTATAGTTAATGAGACCACACTGGAGGTGGTTGATTCCCAGGAGACAAACATCACTGGCGCTGACACCACCCAGTGGCATCTTCAGGGTCTAGAGGAGGGCAGCCTCTACCGCTTCCATCTCAGAGCCTGCACTCGAGCAGGTTGTGGACCTCCGCTGGCCCAGGAGAGCAGCACTCCAGGCACTACAGCACGTGAGTGGATAAAATCAGTGCACCTGTCTTGGTTAATAAGATCGCATTTCGATTTGCTTTGGGTATAAAAGCCCCACCAGTGTTTTTTGAATCATACTACAGACATGGTTGTTGTCTGTACACCTGTAATAATTCACACAAAGTGGGGATATTTAGAATCGTTGTACTGATGACGTCATGGCATCAGTACAACGACATGGAAGGTCCAGTGAAAAGACTCTTTTTTAAGCGCGTTTGTTGGAATGGTAGGACCTGTGCTTTTGGAGCTACGCCCACACGGAGTAAAAGTCAGGATATTTTATCATATGTAGAAAAAGATTTTGGTGTTTTGCATCAGTTCTTTGTTACACATTCTTACCTCTTTGGATTTTCACTTCAAAAGCTGAACAAAGCTGAAATGTTAATAATAATAATAATAGGCAATTCAAATTGCGCCCTTCACACAAATAAAGCTTAATGTGCTTTTCAAAGAAACAAAACAGTGGTTGAGCATAAACAAGCACAAAGTAAGATAATGATGTAACAATGGAATAAGCACAGCATAACATCCGGCTTGATTATTATTATATAAGCCACTAAGGGACCTAAGTGAAATAGGCAAATTATGTTTCAAGCTGTTGCTTTAAAATGCTCAGTGTGATTGCGTCCCTAATTGTGAATGCTTTCCCACACTTCACATATAAAAAGGTGCATCTCCAGTTTTCATATGACAGCGGTTAGGAACATCTAACAAACCCACGGCGGAGGATTCAAGTGAACCTGAAGTCACATAAAACAACAGGGAGTCTGCAGTTTAGGCTGGTCCTGAGCCATTTAGAGCTTTCTATGAAAGCTAAAGGACTTTCTTTTAGGCAGTTTTTAAAAGATACCGTGAGCCAGTGTTAGCCCATCTAAAACTGGAGTGCTGTGCTTCCTCTTTATAGTTTTGTTTTGAAGTTTAGCAGCAGAATTGTGAATAACTTCTATCCTCTAAATACCCTTTTAAAAAAGACAATTGAAAAGTTGCAGTGTTCTGCTTGAGATGAAAGCATGAATCAGCTTCGTGGCATCTTGTTAGCTTAGGAGTGCCTGTACCCTGGCAGTATTTCTCACAATGTCTGAGATGTTGGCTTATACAGAAACCTACGATTTAAAGGTTAGTTCAGATTCAAAGACACAGGCTAAAAGTATGACGTCTGATGTGATCTACGGAACCAGAGATCCAAGAATTTTGGATAGAGCATATCTTTAGCCATGCAGAGCTTCTTTTTTTTTGAGCAGTAGATATACATTATCTAGTTTTTGATTGCAGAAAGACAGCATGCGAGTGAGATTAAGGCAGTTTGTTAATTAGGCTCTTCTGAAATCTATAATCATGTGCCATCTGCATAGCTGTGAAAATTGAAAAAAAAGATTACTTCCTGAACAACTTGAAAAGCTGTCAAGATGTAAAGACGCACAAAACACATTTAAAACGCCAGCAGAAAGACGACGATGTCAGTGTTGTTGTGACCATGTTGTGTCAAATTTGGCATTTGGTGCATTTGGTTTGTCCTAAAGTCTAACTGGAACTTCTCCAGAGTATTGATTGATTTCAGAAAGCTATAGATTTAAAGATAACGTTGTCAAATAGCGTGGATCATCAGCCTTACAACAGCACAAAAAGTCTCAATCTCATGAGACAAGTTCATGACATAATCTTAGACACCGTTAAAGAAACCTTCAAAGCACTATTGTAGCTAGATTAAGACAAACACGTAGAAGATTTATAATCCAACTTCAAGGAATACTTCACCCACAAATTTACTCCATCTTTTGGTTCTCCGTTGACCGTAGAGGCATGCAAGAAAAACTAAATCTTCTTTAAGAATTCAAGGTGACACGCGTTGAGTAATTACTATGCAAATCATTTTGTGGGTGAAATTCCTTTTTAAATAGCTTTTTGGCAGAAATGGACAAACGTTAGCCTTTTGAAGACGTGAATGCAGGGATTGTCATCGTTCACTACAACACCCGCTTTGATTGTTTTGAACTATTTAGTAAATTCCTCACTGTCTGCAGTGCGGTCTGGAAAGTGAATGTCAGAGGTCGGGACGGGTTTTAGCAGCGGATCCATCATAGAAAACAATATGGTGGAACCTCCACTGTTGTCTCTGATTATGCATACAGCTTTATTGTAAGTAGTTATGGGCTTGTTATAAATTAAACATGGACCTCCAGTTCTGCTCTTCTGCATTTCCTGTCAGTGGCTCTCCATGATCTCTTATGCACTCATATAGAGTTGATAAATCATGGTGATGTTCTGTCACACACTCCTTTAATGACCTTGAGTGTTCATCAGGTCGTTGTTCGGGGTGTCATCCATTTCACCCACAGCCGTGGTCTCACTGAGAGAATTAATGAGCTGATAAGTTCAGAGAACAAAACCTCTGCTTTGGGATCTCGGATCATATTGTGAACATTAAAAAGTTCTAGTCAGCTACACTGTCAGTTTTGAGCCACTACATGCAAATCTTTCTTTGTTATAACTTTAATTGGGTAAAGCCAATATTTATATAATTGTATTTGATTATAGCATCATTTACATATTCTGTTCTTCTTTTATTTGCAATGTTTTCAGAAAAATATGACAATCCTTCTCAAAGCAAATTGGTGCAGTTTGCCGTCTGTGTTTCTTTCAGCGTATGCATTTCGCCACTAGGGGGTGCCAAAGTCAAAAATGTTCAGATTCTACACACGTGGTGGCTTTAATTTGGATCTTACATAAAACAAAGATATGCAGATTCTGCCTGTTTTAGTTAAGCTCTTTGTTAACACTTCATTAAACACTTAATTCAGCCAATCTCGCTAATAGATTGGCATTATTAGCTGCATTTGGCACATGTTAGCGTCAGCTTCAGCCTTCATAATTACACAATGATCAGTGAGAGTGAGTGCTAGGATTTCCAAACAGATCAAAGTTCCCGGAAAAGTCCTCCCTCCATTACTTGGCAAGCCCAAAAAAAAAATAAGAGCGGATGAGAAAATATGTTTCCACTATCTCTGACTGTTTTAATAAAAGTTATTAATTGCTCTCTGGCTTTGATATTTCCTTTGAGAGGCTTTCCATCTTGTAGGTGGATGTCCAGCCTGAGAGCCATTAGATGCATTGTTTGTAAATATGGCTGAGTAGAGGCTCGGTGGGGAGATAAAATGGTTCCGTTTCGGAGCACTGTCCTCGGGGCATGTTAGTCACAATGCAGCAGTGCAGATTTATGGATGCCAATAGCACGAAGCAGGGGCACCAGGAATTCAGAGTTGTTGATGGGGAGTAACGGAATGACTGCATGTGAGTTAGTGAGCCTAGGCTATGAAGTGCTCCTTTTAAGTGAGCTTTTAATGCTTATCCCCATTTAGTTGGGATAAACAGTAGCTTTAAAAAAAAGTTGTCTGGACAAACAGACTGACATACCAGAACAGGAAACAGCCACAGAGGTATCAGCAGATGTGTTTTCATGTGTCTTTGTTTTGAAAGGCTTGTCATGAAAAGAGAGTGGCTGAGGTGAGTGAAAGACAAACATCTCGCAGAAGGATAGGGTGAGGCATCAGCGAGACTGAGGAGCAGGGAAGACTGAGAGAGAACAGCTAATAGCCAAAGCAGAAGAGTGTGGCAGACAGAGGAAAAAGAATATCTATTTTTCTCCATCAGGTCTCATGAGATAACAAAACAGCAGAGCTAAAGCGGACTGCAAACATGACAAAAGCACTAAGAAGAATGTACCTCTTAAGACAGACAAAAATAACTAGCTCCTCCACAGATAATATTATTTGCTCCCTGGCACAGAATTTGAACACCCATGTTGTTATCGCCCGATACGTTTGCTAATAGTTAGAACTTAATGTTTGAAAAGGTTCAGAAACATAATGATCCAAAGCTGATTCATCTTCACTGCAGTCACTTCAGGATTCAGCTATCAGAGCAGAATAGTCCTTGTCAGTCGACAGCAGTGTGTAATGACCAACACAGTTTATCAGAAGAATTATACTGTATAACAATAGTAATTCAGTATCATATCCAAAAAGTGTCTTCTTGTTGTCACGTTTAAACTATAATCCACTCATGTATGAATCGTATTTTACTGTTTGCCAGTCAGTATGCAAGAAATAAAACAAGGTTCAACTGGTTGCAATCTGCAACCTCACAGCTAGATGACATCTAACTCTGAACACTTCACTTTTTAAATAGGAGGACATGGACCGGAGATGTGATCTAAAAGGGTTCAAATAATACACTGTAATCAATCATTTTACAATAACAATGTTTCAACTGACAATGTGTTGCTCGTAGTGATGAAACTACAGAGAATTATCACCTGAATCTGGAGCTCCACTCAGACTTTTGGTATGGGGGGGGGACTACACACACACACACACACACACATTAGACGCTGAGGTTTATATGAAAGTTAGCCCGCCGGGCTGCAATGGCAACGTGTACATAAAAATGGCCGCTGCTCTGACCATCCTGATACGTTGTATGGGAATGTCCGTTCTACTCCTATACTGTTTTCTAGGCAGCTGTTTTCGGTTCTAAAGACCCACCGTATACTACAAACACACACATTAGTTGGACCCAAGTGGTAAAAAAACAAATCAGTTGATGCAGGTTTAAAAAATAGGAAGTGATAGGTTAGACTGTGATTTTTGAATCTGACAATCATAAATGTGAAAAGTAAAAGCTAAATGGTTGTTTAGAACTATTAGGCAATAGTAAAAATAGTCGTAAGTAATTGGAAGGACAAAGAGTTTGGTCTTTTCCCTCCACAATGCTGTCTGGTCATCTCCACAAGTCACCAAATCCAAAACACCACTAAAAAGAAAGCAGATCACACATGCAGGCATCTACCTGTGTGGTTGTATTTGTGAGGATGTACTGCCCACGTATCTGTGTGGGTGGATGTACAGTACATGCATCTGTCTGTGTGTGTGTGTGCTTGTGCCTGGTCTATAAACCTTAAAGCTGGCTTTCCATATATGTCTATAATTTTCTGCTGTATTTCATTTTCTTTTTATCCCTCTGAAGATTTGTCCCCGACTCCAGCTGTGGCCCCAGTTCAGAGCAGTATGTATCACTGCCTGCAGCTGCTGCAGCTCGCTAACATAGACGTAGTGGTAGAGATAGACAAGGTTGTAGGTGTGTTGGTGTAACGGTTTGTCCTTTATAGTTGTAGCGATATAGTTTGGGTGATTCCTAACTAACACTTTTGGAAAAATGTCATAATGTGACAATCGTAGTTTGAATTTGCAATTCAGCTTTGTTATGTGGACCCGAACCCTACTGCAGTAACGGTGCGTTTACTGTCAGTCGCACTGAAGTTGCGCCGTTACTTCCATTAATCCAGTTTTCCCGGTTGCTTCAACAATCCTGCCTTTGTGTAGTCTACAGAGCCTGCTTGTTGCACAATATAGAGTATCAGACCCGACAGCATTGCAGCAGAAATCTAACTTCTGAGGCTTCTCTCTCATTCCAGGCGACAACTGCTCTCTCTCTCCTCCCAGCTCTATCCCAGGCAATTCTACTCATCCTACTTTAGGTATATAGCTCTCACTCGCACATGTTGAGCCAAATGATACCCCTGTGATCTCATCTTGATGTACCTTCAACTTTCAACTAACAATGGGGTTCGAGACATGGGAGTCGTTTCAATCTATTCTGATATTCGCTCATGGCGGGGAGGCGTCAGGAAATGCCAGTTTTGCTTCACATGGAGTGAAGACTAGATGTCACTCCCGCCCACGATCTCTATATCTTCCCTTTATGAGTCAAAATCGAGCTCCACTCAATTAGGTCTGGGGCCCAGCATTGCCTTTTGAACTGTCTTTTTGAAGGGTTTCTGCTAGCTGCAGTGTTCTCAAGCTGCAGGGGAACCTATTTGCCTCTGCTAATCCTCTTTTCCTGCCTTCTTTCTCCCTTTCTCTGTGCTTGTCTGTGTATTCCTTTCCTCCCTATTTTCCTCCTCTTATTTCTTCTCTCTTTATCAGTGCCAGCGCTGTTGAACATAAGCTCGTATGTGAGTGACACCTTTGCCAAAATCAGCTGGACTGCCAGGGAAGAGCAGCAGGACTCGGAGCTTTATGTGGCTTATATGAATAACCGTAAGCTACTTTTCCTGTCCCCGCCTTGCTCAACATTGATAGGAATTTTAGCTGGCATCATGGTGTAGGTGCAACTGGGAAGGTTTTATATAAACACCTGAAAATACATTTTAAGCCTTGCGTCTGCATGGCTACATCCATCATTTCAATGATTGCCTCAAAACGTGTTACAATGTATTTAAAGTTATATTTAGTACAACAAATACATTTCATAGCTATTTAATACTTCTGATCTTCATCTTCTGTTGCATGAATGCTAACGCAGACTTGCTGCTTGTGCACTTCTTGTGCTTGGGCTGTGTAGGTGATGGTAACTGGCTGGTATCAGAGGCTGTAAACGCTTCTCGAAGTTTCCACGTTATTGATGGGCTCAAACCTGGGACGGTGTACACCGTGCGCCTCATGGCCAAGCGGCTGCTCGATAATGCTAGCATTTTCGAAGGTGTTATCCAGACCCGAGTCAAAGGTGAGAGGAGGAAACGACGTCGCAGTCGATAGAGTTTAGTGATTTGAGCTCTAGCCTGCCATAACAAAACAAGCACAGCTTTGACAAATTGATATTGATTGTGGTGAATGTGTGAGCTTATTTATTTGTCTTGCATCTCTCTGTGCATTTGTTTTTTTTCCTATCTAATATTCTTTCATAAGAGATTGAGTGTTATAGCTGAAGGGAATGTGAGTCAAATATGTCAAAACGTGAGAACATCCTGTCATGTTTTTTTTTCTGTTTTCAGTCAAAGATGAAGTTGTGTGAGGAGCGCTTGAGGGGACCGTCATCGAAAAGACCACCGAGTCAAGTAGATTCTTGAGCTCTGTGTCTCTCTGCTGTTTTTGTCTGCAGCTGCGGCAGGTCAACGGAGCAACTTTTCGACCCAGGGCTGGTTCATTGGGACCATGTGTGCTGTGGCGCTCCTCACCCTTGTCGTACTCATGGCCTGCTTTGTGCGGCGAAACAGAGGTGGCAAGTATGCAGGTACGCCGCCGCCGACCCAGCGACAAGACATGTTCTTCATGGAAAAAGGTCAGTTAGCCAAGGTTGGTTCCCCCTGGTCGCCTCGCTTCAGGAAGTGAACCAAAATTAAACTCATGAAATGTACAGTACATGTAGGAGATATCAGTCTGACTTGATTATAAGCAACGTAACTATCTCTTAAATCATTAGATATCACCAGATTTACAGGGTGACCCTTTGATTTGACTTTAATTTAATTTTGGTTGACTTCCTGAAAGAATGATAATGTGCTCAACCCTGACCCCCCCACCCCACCCCGTTTGGAAATGCGTCATGCATGCATGTTGGACTACTCATGCTACTCCTGCCTTGCCAAATATCATTAATCTCGAAATGAACTGTCCACGAGATGCTTGCTGCATTGTGAAATATTTGGTGTGGCCCTGTTGATTCTGCCCGCTTCCTCTGATTACATACCTTGTCAAGCCAGTTGAGTGGGAACCAGCTGGCTTTGTTTCACACCTCCCCACCCCGTCAACCTGTGCAGAACCTCCTGGCTCTTCCCCTGCACCTTTGTGCTGTCGTGTATCAGAGCCAAATTCAATCTCACTATGGTACATATAGTACCTGCAAAGCGTCTCCTCACTTTCTCCCCTCTCAACCTGCTTTGCCGTCTTCTCCCCCATCGCTCCGCTCCACCTCTTTGCCTGCAGTAGATTTTGACATGAAGCACTGAATATTTCATCAGCTCCTTTAGATTCCCCTTTTGCCCATCCAGCTCTTTACATGAAACCCCTCTTTTGTCTCTCTTGAAAACAACTAGTATTTTTTTTAAAGCATATTTACACAAAGAGCTGCTGTGTAGCACTTTGGGGCGGAAAAACAGAAGAAAGGCTTTCAGTGTGCAGACTTGATATAATGTTTACACAGTCATATTTAGTTGTTCTCAAAAGCTTTTTGGTTGTGACTTTTAAATTCAACTCCCATATATACTCAAGTGATGAAAAAGTTCAGATCGTTTATTCTTGGACATCTACTTTCCAAGAATAGTCTGACAGAAAATCACTGTGCTTGATTAAAACTAACACAAGGCGGATGCTACTGTTTGAGTTATTTCCCTTTTGGAAAATGTTAACGACACAATCCTTTACAGTTATTTGAATTAGAAGCATTACAGATTATACTATGTCCCAACAGTATAAGTAATATGTAATCACATCTATGGTTGAAAGTGCTGTTTTTTTAACAATGCTGCTGAAATGTCTGTCCCGTCCCTCCTCCTGCAGTGAAAGCGAAGGAGGACCTGCACCCTGATGCGGAGTCACAAGGAGAGAATGATGACACCTTCTGTGAATACAGGTGAGCTGTACTCCTGCTCTGCATGGGAGAGCTGCAGTGCCAAAGTGTGCTGAGGAAGTTTCGTATCTCCATTTTATCTCCTTGAAATGCATTGTCTTGTAGCAATATTAATCCAACAACCATATGTTGAGTGCTTTCTGGCTGAGAAACTCATTTGTCATGTGTCACAGTAATGTTTTCTCTCCCATCCCAAAAGAAAACCATGCATTCATGAGCTTTACCTGGATCAGCCAAGAAGCCATTGTTCTCATCATTTAATGGGCTAGGTAATCACACGGTGTAGTTAAAAGTAGTGGGTAACAAGAACTTGAGCTTTGTCCCCCTTTAGTTGGAATTATGTGCTTTTATTTTGTTGTCAGATTATGATCCGAGTGTGTGATTCAGCTTGGTCCAGTAGGCAGTAGGTGTGTATATATATGTAAATATATATATATGTGTGTATATATAGGTGTATGATGTATGTATATATGTGAATGTATATATATATACAGTACATACGTATATACGTATCCCCGGGCGGCCCACTGCTTCCTATATACAGGGATGGGTCAAATGCAGAGACCAATTTCCCCTTCCGGGATGAATATAGTGTAATAAAATAAAAAAAAAATAAAAAAGTATATATGTGTATATATGTATGTACAGTATGTGTATATATGTGTATATATATATATATATGTATGTGTATATATATATATATATATGTATGTGTATATATATATATGTGTTTGTATATACGCATATGTGTTTATATATATAAATTATAAATATATATGTGTTTATATATATATGTGTTTGTGTTTATATATGTATGTGTATGTATATGTATATATGTATGGATATATGTGTATATATATACAGCAAGTCAACACATTGAGCTGTATACATGTGTCAAACATATTACACACATTAGGCAGAGTGCCTCTTCTTACCAGGTGTTTTTGACGGATGTAGTTTTACCTTTAAACCCTGATTGACCTTGTGACCTTAACATGTATGTATGGTGTGGATTCTGTGGAAGACCTCCAATGCAGGCCACTCTTCTCAGAAGCTTTCACTGCAGACACGCAGGCTGATTCTAGATGTACAGTCGTTCCTGATGCAAAACATCTTGCACTTATTGAAACAGGCATAAACTAAGCATGGCAAATGGGTGGGAAAACAGAGCCTTTAAGCCCAAAGCAGTCAGCTGTTGTACTTTATAATAGCTGTTGAATTTCCATTGTTTGCATTGTTTAGCCGCTACGGTGACAGTTTAGGGAAATCGACTGAATCCTATTTTTGCTTGACAGCACTGCAGCAACTGCGTGACAATAGCGTGTTTGTTTGTGCACACCCAACAGAAATCCCCTAAAATAGCCTCTTCTGTCCGCTTTGATTATGCTCGTCATCATATTATTCAAAACATGATTACTCACAACTGTGTGGATGCTGCCAATTGCATTTTTGTGATTCTTGCCAAGACTATAATTCTGTTGAACAAGACACAATGCATCGTCTACACAGCCCTGTTTATAGATTATTATTGCTTAAAGATGTAATAACTACGTTTTTACTTTCCCATAGCTTTAAATGACTTTATTGTGTGAATGGAGAGGGTTGTTAATCGATACTATTCACCCAATGATTGCTGTGCAGATGCTGGGATGGTTTTCAAACACACTTTAAGTATTGTTTTCTGTGAGGTTTAACACTGATGGAAGACCCAGGGAAGCGCCAAGTAGTGCTGGGCGAGGATTCAACACGATCACACATCAACTCTCAGTGAAGTTGGTGCATAATGATGTGATTATTGTGTGTTGCTGTGTTACAAAACTCCATTGTCCATAATTAATAAATACTGTGCTGTTGATTTTAGCTCTGATGCCAAGTTGTGTCTCATGAGGCAGAAGAGTTGTGAGTTGATGCAAATGTTTGGCTGCAACTTAGAATGCCTCTCACGGTTGGTTTCATGAGGCTGTTCTGACTACTGTCCCCCCCCAGAGTGCCCTTAGCCTTACTGTGGTGTTGTTTACCTGGCTTTGGGGCTGGATTCAGGGCTCTCTTGTGCCCATTGAATCTCTGACGGCAGTAGACCACCCACTGGTATGCCACGTGTCTGGGGAGCTGATAAGTGGTAATTATGCTTCAGACAATTTCTCTTTAGAGACAGCCCTCTGCTGTCTTGCCCCTCTGTCCACTGCAAGAACAGCAGGTGTCATAGCTTGAGCTGGCTGTGAGCCAGCAGTGTGATGCAATTCTTTCCACGGCAAGTTTATCTGTTTTTTTTTGTTTTTAACCCCCTGCACCTTTTATTTCTTGCCTTCATTTTCATGTGCAATGAGGGAGAAAGCAGCAGATGTGAAGAACTTTTCCTTCAGACACTTTGAAACTAAAATAAATACAGCTGCAGGTGCAAAGAGAAAAAAAAATCCTCCTTCCACCTGATGTTTCACTGCTGCCCTCAAACGAAGTCAGCATGGGTCAGTGGCAAGACAAATTTGATTACCTTCTGCCAGGTGATGTGCCCCCATCCCTCACCTGTTTGTGAGGCTGAAGGAAAGCCTTTTCACAGCAACAGCTGAGGCTGAGGCTGAGCAGGATCCAGATCAACTACCTGAACGAGAGCCGGGGCTCAAAAGCACTCAGCCCCATTTTATCACATTATTCAAAGTCACTGTGGGCGGGCTGCGGCGGCCATGGCATTCCACTGCTCTTAGATAACAGCCACTTATCTCCAGCGCTCCAGAGTCGTCAAGAGAAAGAGGGTTTGATAAGAGTTGAAATGCGGACCTTATGTGGCTTGCATGGTAAACGGCCTCATGAAATGGTGTAGATACGATTGGTTATTAAAAGTCCCTGTGAAGGAGACACGATTTGTAATCTTAGCTCGAACCATGCCTCTGCTCTAAAAGGCTGCTCAAAATGTCGAGGTTGTATTTGACAAAGGTGTCAACTACAGTATGCCTCAAATGGCACTATCATATACCGGCCACCAGAGCGTCGTCTCTGAACGCAGACGCTCTGCGTTATGAATACCAAAGCGGAGGACAGAGAGAGGTGTTACCAAACATGGATGGTTTAGGGAATTAGAAAAGAGGACAGGGAGGAAAAATATCCTCAATGTTTTGAGGTGACCCTGCGTCTCGCAGTGAGACACCTGCGAGCTGGCCAGTCGCCCAGCCTTAAATTGGCATCTAATCTGCTCGGCCTGCGTGTGGGCCCTTGGGAATACCAGGAATGACAGGCTGTTTGTCTGGGATTGCATATGCCCCACCTCTACCCCCTTTTCCCCTTCTCAATCTCAGCGCCCCACCTCCCCCCGACACACACACACACTCACACACACACACACACACACACACACTCTCACACACCTCCCACTCTTATTCTTTCTCACTGCACTCTGGCAATTTCCATCGCTGGTTCTAAAGAGATTTGAAATTGCCTTTGGTCTTGAAGCCTTGGCAATTAGCAATTAGTGAAGTGATTGTAGCAAGCCCTCCCCGCCTCCCTTGTGCTCCCTTTCCTGCTGTGCAGCCGCTGCATCCTCCCCTGCCTACCTCCCGTAGTGATGTATAAGAACCATAAGAAGTATTCGCTTTGTGACTGGGAGCATGCTTGTGTGTTAGTGCAGCCAAGAATGTAATAATCTGTATGTGTGGTTATTCGTAATGCTGTGTGCTTGTGTATCAGCCTCTTAGTGCCATGAGTGTTGCTGTTGAACGTATATGCACTGTACCGCTGACCCTGAACATCGTTCTCTGTTGTTGTTGGTGGCAGTGACAGCGAAGAGAAGACGCCGCTAAAGGGCAGCAGCTTGCGTTCCCTGGCTGGAGATGACGCGTTGGGGGACAGCATCAGCAGAGACAGCATGGTTGACTACGCCGATGGTGGAGGAGAATTCAACGAGGACGGTTCATTTATCGGAGAATATTCTGGACGCACACGCGGAGACTCTGTTAGCGAGCCCAGTGGACCCAGACCAGTCACTGCATAAAGCCAGGCTCCGGTCTTAACGGTCGACTTCAAATATTTTCAAGATACTTTTTTAAATTCAGCTTCCCTGGGATTAAATATAGCAGGAGTACCCAAATATGGGCGGGGGGGGGGGGGGTGACTCAAATGTGTAGACGTTTTGCCCAGGGACCGGAAAGGAAAGAACACTCCCACCAGACACATCGGTGTGAAAACCATGTAAGTCTTTGTACATACTGTAAGAGAATGACCTGTATCATTTGAGTTTTTCAAGATTTTATTAATTATAATAAAGGTGTTTTTGTACCTTTTATAGGCCACAATCGTCAGCTGTGTATGTTGATTGCCTTCTTTCACAAAAGGCTGAAGATCAACAATTATTTCCCACAATACAAAAAACACTGAAAATATCACTATACATGTATATTCTTTACACAGTGAACGGAAATGATACATAGAGTAGAAATACATATGCATCTAGCCTGTGTTCAATCACAGTTGAATCAATATATAGTCATACATGCTTTACTGTCCATTACTGTCTACTTTATGTATATGTTTCAGACTTTTGTTAGTATGCAAATGTGTGAATGTTGTTTATATTCAAAATGCTGTCAGTACCTTTCATATAATTATATCAAACAAATTTTGGAAATTTTTTATTGCTTTTTTACATCAAACAGGAGAGAAAAAATATAAACGTAAAAACAACATTAACATAACAGAATTCAATTGAAGAACAGATTCAAGTATCAAATCCTCCCAACTACGCCCCTGGTTGGTTGGGGGAATTACAGCAACGATATATAAGTTGTTTAGCAAGAGGTTGAACTGATAAGTGTAGTGCTGCATTTATATCTGGAGTGGAATCATGAAAACATTTATCTAAGGGACTTTTCAAAACTCCAATTGGTGAGCTTTCACCTTAAGGCCACACTAAGGAAGATGAAGTTTTGAAACGAAAGCAATTCATCATACTCCTATTTGTTTTGGAGTGTTAGGGGCTTTTTAATCATGTGACTTTATTCTGCTGGATGGCAAAGTATGATTCACTCCACATTCCTTTAAAATGATCAGGCAGCTGGGCTATTTATTATCTGGAAATTATTATGGTTTACTTCCTTCCGAGTTTTTATTTTGAACGTGCACGCATTGATTCATCAGTTTCTATTTGCTGCTCCTTTTCTGTAATTTAAAAAGCACCCGCTTATATGGCAAGCTAACTTTCAAGTTGAGATGTCCTTCTACTGAACATGAAATGTGAATACATTTTAAGAAAACAAATTCCTTCCTTGGGACTTTGCTATTTACAAAAAATTTCAGCAAAATTTGTTTACAAACTAAGCACAAAGCAATATTGAAATGATACAAACATGGCTGAATTAAGCTCAATATTCTCAAAGGTCAAACACATTCTGAATTCCCAAACAATTTTCCCGTATCTCCGCAATGCATTCAGTGAATCCTCACATGCATAATGAATGCGGCTGAAATATTCATCAAGGATGTAAGCAAAGTTTAGATTTGTCCATTTCAACAACCTTACTGACACAGATGTAATAAAACAAAATAGAGCAGCGGAGCCGGCTACAAAGTCCGAAATGTTTCATTGGCTAGAGGCTTATTTTTTATTTTTAAGATTCTCCACTGAGCTCTTTTATAAAGACCTCTTCAGAAACAAAGAAGACTCTTGAAAACCAAAGAGATGCAGTTAGATATATTTAACTTTGTCAAATCACAGCGGACTGTATTTCATATTTAGAAGGAGGACATTTGGTCTATAGAAATGCAAAAGATGATAAACTTAACCAAACTGTATTTTGTATGAGTTCCTTTGAAGATCCTCCCACACAGAAAACAACATGAGAAAACAATAGTTGACAATAAAGAGAGTTTTCACTTCAAACCAAAAGTACAAAAAAGGTCACAAGTTCTGCTATGAAATATAGTCAACATTTTAGTCAATCTCTTTCCCATTACTTGGTTCAGATAATTGGTGCCAGGTCCCATGGCTCCAATTATCTGAAACAAAGCAGTGTTTGCTCTCCCCTTCAATTTCTCAGGGTAAAATATAGCACCTTTGATGAGGCAGAAATCCCAACTAACAAAGGTGGGAGATGATCGCCTCATCCATCATTTGGTGGGAGCCAAACAGCCCAACTTCCCCTCTGATTCACTCCTTTACTTTTGAGCCTTTCAATAAAAAACAAGCTCAGAGGTTCAGGGTTTTTTTTTTCCTTATTAACTGTATTTGTTTGTCCCAAAATTCCAAAACAAACCATAAGAATATCCTCAGTCTGAGAACATACCATGAAAGACATTTCCTTTTTCAGCTTTCCATTGTTCAAATCCTCTCACTTCGGTCACTTGACTTCTTGCGTATCTCTAAAATACCTTGGAGGCCCTTATCTTTCATTTTGAATACACAGCCTCCTTGCAGCTGTACAGTGTGTCTATAGCCTGGTGATTATAGGCATTGTAGCCGTAATCAAACCAGACTTCGGATAGTGGAGTTTAAAAGCACTCCATGCCTCATGGCAAGATAAAGGTCATTTAAAGAGATAATCCCTGTATTGTCGGGGATTATGCCCTCATCCGTTTTAAAATTGCTTTCTCCATGGAATGCTAAAACCTCTAAACAGCAACAAAAGATTACTCCAGTCAGAACCCCCCCTGAGTGTCACAGAAGCAGCTTTTTTTTTTTTTCCTCTGCTAAATCTCTTTGGAGGACATGCAGGTGACCCTTTCATGAAAAGCATTACAGCCCTGTTTTAGAGCAAGCAAAGGTCGGGATGTTTACATCTCTCGGATTGATGTTCGATGTTTGCCGCGTGGTGTTTTGCTCACGTTATTGCTGCACACTCGCACACAAACTCAGAATCAAGCTCGAAGCGGATCACTCGCTTTCAGGCAGTTTGATCAGAGCTGATATTTAGGCTAAGTACCCTGGAAATTGCCTGGTGGGAGGAAATCAATAGAATACTGACACAAGCTGTGAGCTCAGCCCAGTAACAACAGGCTGTAGCCACTCAGCGTTGCATCAACCTCAAACCAAATGACGCCGCCCCAAGGACAAGACACTGAAAAAACTGTAGCACACGGGGAGGATTTACATTTTGTCAGGGAGCTAGATATTGAGTTAACACTGTATCTACCCAGTGTAGGAGAAGGTAGCACGATGGCCATGAAGATCTCATTAATAATGAACACCGTTGGGTTCACAGAAAGGGGAACTGTGACAAGTGTTTCCGGAGATGCTTCTACGGAAGACCTACTTCTCTTTGGTGGTTTTTGAAGGAATGCAGTTAAAGCAATTTACAGACAAATCCGCATCAGGTGGTAAACCAGTGTCATGGCTCCCACTTTCTTAAGTTAAAAGGGACAAACAGTCAGTCAGGCCTATTCAGAGCAACACAAGCACACTCTCTCAAGGATGAGCTTTGATCACTTTACCTGAGAAAGGGGTTAAGGGTCGGTGGAGAAAAGAGGAGTTGACTGCGGGCTCATTATTGAAACCTGCTTCAGCAACATTTCAGATGAAGAAAACCAGCTCAGAAAGACGGCTTATGACCTTGACTCACAATCAGAGTGGCAGTATTTCATCATGCATATTCCATCTAAGACCTTCACTCTTTGTCTGCATTTTTTAAGGGGGATGTGGGATGAATGGCCGGGCTTACCTTTTTATTGAAAGCCAAGGCGGACGAACAAGAAATCGACAGCCGCTGAGTGAGACATCATAGACACACATTCAAGAGGCCGCTATTCGAAAAGTCTAAAATGCGTTTTAGCCGCTCTGTCACTAAATCTTCCTAACCTGTAACTTTCTATTGGATTCACTTTAAACTAATCTAGAATACATCTAAATGCATCAGTATCTGAAATAAGAGTCCCCCCCCAGTCACAGAAACACCCAGATGAACTCCCTTCTAATTTCAGGTCTCAGTCGTCCTCTGGCTCCTGCTCATTCTTTTGTCATCTCAACATGGTGTTACATTCACCTTCTGCTAAAATTGAATTTGTCTCACTAGGATGCAAATGGGATGGGATGATTCTGCATACAGAGAATCCTTTTAGAGGGCTATTATTTCCCTGGGAAACTGCTTTAGATGCAAGCCCAGACACTCTGGAATGCCAGCCAGCAATTGAGTGGATGTTTGTGCATGTGCATGTCTGTGTGAGAGAGAGAGGGTATGAGGCAAGCAGGAGGAGGCAGGAACACTCAGCCATGGCAGAAACTAATGAGACATGCATCGGTAATATGATTACAAAGTCAGCCTGACTGTGTCAGAGATCAGGGGGATGCGTTAGAGACATCTGCACAGGACAAAGTGGACACTGGGCTGTTCCGTTGCACTGCGTCTGCATTACATTACTCTACCTGTAAGTGAGTGGCAGCGGCTGCAGATAGTGAAAATGATGCTCACACAGTTATGCTGTCATTCAGATGATGACAACGCTCACATCAACAAAATGGAGATTGATGAATGCTGATTTGAAACGACTCAGGTGTGCGTATCATTAAGGAACACAGTGTGAGCCCTTTAAGGTCAACATGTCCTTAGTTTGATCCAGCAAAGGATTTCATGTTGCTGGAGGATTAGATAAGAGACTCGTAAGTGTTGTGTGGGTGGTGAATAATTCTCACCTTCCTTTCTTAGCCCGGGGCTGACAAAGCAACAACTTGGCAAAAACCACAATCCACACACAATACGCCAGTCAGCTCGAAGTCCCTGTGATGGAGCCATGTGAAAATTGGCACCCTTAACTTGCACACTGCTAAGGGAGCATAATCAAAAATGACTTTCCTGTTTGTTCACGATTGAACATCGCACCCGCTCAACCGCAGGGATGTTTTTAATGTTATTTTTAGTAAATCAAAATCCTTGTTAATAGCATTTCATTTGGTCTATTTTAAAAATTGTCAGAAGACAAAATGCTGCAGACTGTGTTCCTTTTGTTCTTTTTCTTTGTAGTCATTAATCAGACTCCAGTATTGTACAGACAACCAATCCCCCCAAAAAAGACAAACTGAGTTTGAAACCTTACTCCGATATTCAGCTTTAGTCTTATTAAAGTACAAAAGGCTGGCGGCGGCGGCGGCAAGAGAGAAGTGGACACGGACTCAGTGCATCTCCTGTGCTTCACAAACTAATCAAATGGGTTATTTCAGTTTGCGGATGTTTGTTAATGAGCAAGTGATAAGCAGCCTTGGATATCAAACAGAGGGGAGAGACACCATAATGTCAATTTTTATTTTTCCAAAGCAATTCTTTTTCTATGAATTTGTTCCTGCGGTGTGTTTCTCGTGGACCACAACTCCTGAATTATTCATTGCGCCTTCATTAAAACACCTCCATTTGCATAACACACAGGGCTGCATAAGATGCATTCAGGCTTTTGATGCTAGTGTACATGTCAAATCATTTAACACAGAACCGGACCACCAGAAAGCCCAGCAACATGGAAGCCTTCAAATGTCTCCAAATGTCTCTTATAAGCCTTACTCGGCTTTTCGAAAAATGATCATGCAGAGATGTAAGTGGGTCAGAATGGACCCCTTCAGTGCAATAACCCACTTGAAGAAGTAAATAAAAGTATGATAAAGTATGATTCTGGAGGACATTAGTGTCTCTCTGGAGAAGCTACAGTGTTGTGATTTATTACAATAATTATTTTTGATGGAGGCAATGACAGGTGTTTGTCAAATGCTGGTTTCCAGATGAATCTATAAAGCACTTTTTTGTTAAATTTGAATTTCAGTCACACCAGTTTGCAATCCTACACTGATCTAACTCCAGACACACTCATCTGAACATCCATCATATTTTAAATGCTTTCCTCCGCACTTGCAGCAATCAGGCTA